AGAAGATAGTAGGAAAGGAAAAATGAAGGGGGGGAAATTGGAGGGGGAGACGAACCATGAGAGACTGTGGACTCTGAGAAACAAACTGAGGGTTCTAGAGGGGAGGGGGGTGGGGGGATGGGTTAGTCTGGTGATGGGTATTAAAGAGGGCACGTTCTGCATGGAGCACTGGGTGTTATGCACAAACAATGAATCATGGAACACTACATCAAAAACTAAGGAGGTAATGTATGGGGATTAACATAACATAATAAAATTTAAAAAATGTAAAATAAAAAAATATACAGTGACATGTCTATTTTATATCTCATACCAAAATAAATACTGTATGAGTTTTTAAATAAAGGTGCCTGAGTGGCTCAGATGGTTAAACGTCTACCTTCAGCTCAGGTCATGATCCCAGAGTCCTGGTTTCAAGTTCCGTATTGGGCTCCCTGCTCCTTGGGAGCCTGCTTCTCCCTCTGCCCCCCTCTCTCTCTCTGTCTCTCATGAACAAATAAATAAAATCTTTAAAAAATAAATAAATTAAATAAATAAATAAATAAATAAATAATTAGAAAGTAGTAAAGTGACAGAAATCTGTACTTGAATATTTATATTCATATTTATAGAGTTTTGGAGTAGGGAACCTCTTCTTAAGATAGAAATCGTAAAGTAAGAGAAAAACAGATTTGGTGATAAAATATTCTATTTATCAAAAACATACATAAAAAGCTAATTTCAAACTCACAAAATGGTTCCAATATATATAAACAATAAAAATACTAATATAATATATAAGTAGCTTATATGGATCAATAAAAGAAAAGATAAACAATCCAAAAGAAAAAAAAACAAGAGCTAATGACATAAACAGGCCAATTTACAAAAGAAAAAGTACAAATTTTCACCTATCAAGTTGGCAAAGATGAAAAGATGGTGATTATGTTTGACAAGAATACAAGAAATGGGTACTCTTGACCATGCCATGGACAATCATTCTTGAGGGAAACTTGGCAGTTTGTATGAAAAAACCTTAAAAACATGTATTATCTTTCCCTTTATATGAAGTATCTAAACTAGACAAATTCATAGAGACAGAAAGTAGAAGAGACATTACCAGGGGCTGGGGGAGGAGGAGTAAGGAGTTACTGTTTAATGAGTACAAATTTTCTATTTAGGATGATGGAAACATTCTGGAAATGTAAAATGGTGATGGTTGCACAGCACTATGAATATACTTAACCCCACTGAATTGTTTACTTAAAAATGATTAAAATGGTAAACTTTATGTTGCGTATGTTACCATGATTTTTTAAAATTCCATTGCATGGCCATACACATTTATTAAACCATTTTTCTATTAGTGAATATTTAGGTCTTTCCCAAATTTTTAACAATAAAAACAACATTACGAATAAAAAAAGTATATCCCTTTCTGCCCCCAGGTCCTGTCCCCATGCTTTAATGAAACCACCATTTTGCACCAAAAAAATAAAATAAAATAAAAATAAAAAAGTATATCCCTAGACCCAGCATTTTTATTTGTTAGTATTTATCCTATGGTAATAATGAAGAACATGAGTTAAGATATATATTTTCCTCCTAGCACTGTTTGTAATAATAAAAAGTGGGAAACCTAAATAACTAATATATAGGATTGGTCAAATAAGTGATCGGACATAGTAGAAAATTAGGCAGCCATTAAAAAGTATACTATAGTCATATATCTATTGATATTAAGGGGAAATGATTAAAAATAGTATGTGTGTAAACCTTAAAGAAGTAAATGTTCGTACATGCATAGGAAAGTACCTGGAAGAATATGTAAGTCTTTGCCAGTGGTTATCTCTGAGTAAATGGGATTTGTTACTTATTTATGCTCTTTTTCTTACTTGTTAGATTTTTCTGCAATGAGCATGAACTCTCTCTGGGAAAACAAACAAACAAAAAAACCTAACAAAAGAAACTTAATTTTGAAGAAACCATTAAAAAACCCTCCTAGTTATTTTTCCTTTCTCAAAAGTAACACTGTACTTTCCCTTACTGTACAAAGTGCCCTCCCTCCCCCCCCCAAAAAAAGAAAACACCAACTGACAGTCTGTTTATTATTATCTGACAGACCAGCAGATAATTCTTTCTCTGAACTAAATAATTAAAAATTCGGTGATATTAAGAAATTCCTTTGGGCTTTTGGTTTGCTTCTAAGCTGTCCATTACAGGTATATGTGCAAAGCATCTAATGAAAATGCTTTCTACTTTTGCTAATGAGATGGTTTTCCTTTTACAAATGAAGGAGATGCTGTCACTGAAGAGTAAGGCTACACACAGAGCATGGGAGACATTCAAGTGTCTGAACAGAACCCATTAAAATGAGAGCAGGAAAACTGTAATGCCTTATACAGTATCCCAAAAGCTTGTGCAATTGTAGAAGAATAAAACAATGAGTCTGGAGGTAACAGAGCCAGTCCCAAAAGCATTTTTGTTTGGGTGTCCCACACCGAAGTTGTAAATCTAGAACAGGAAACTTGAAATCATTAAGGTCACATATTTATAACATCACATTCAATTAGGTTAGAAAAGTGTACTTTCTGTCATCATGTCATAAAAAGATGTGTTTTTGTCTCAGATCTCTTATAAGGAAAGTCCCCTATATTGTTACAGATAGGGCTGTTTTCAATCAGTTACAAGGAGCAATTCAATTACTAGATGGTTTAGTGCAGTAACTGACTCCAGACTAATTTAATTTCTTTAGGTCTCTAAAGATCAATTGATCTGATTTGACCCATCCCCAAAGGCTGTTTAGGGAAAATTCAGACTTAAATACCTGGAAATGAAATCCAAAACCTTCGCCAATTTCACACTAGTTAGGTCATCCTGCAAACTTTCAGCTGGTCACAGAAGATGCTCTCTTCGCCCTCAGACCATTGAAAGCTACTCAGCTTCATGGACGTGTGAGTGCTCCCCACATCAGGATGCTTATTCAGTAAGTGGAAAATGTGCCTGCATGCATTATCAAATCTGCTGTTCTAAAGGGCAGTCAGCCTGGGGACTCATATCTCGTGAGCACACGTGCAAATAAGGGGCTATTTTTACTCTAGGAGTAGTTTATTAAGACTATTAGAAGTACACTTAGATGGGGCAAAAAATAATTATTATTTCACATTTTTAGATTTATAAAGTGTTTCATAAATGTCACCTTACTTGGTTCTCATAATAAACCTTTGAAGGAGCAGGGTTGTTTTTCCCATCTTCTCGATAAGGAAACAGAGGCTGGGAGACTTCTCCAGGATCACTCAGCCAGTACAAGGCAGAGCTGGGACTCTAACCCATGAGTTTGTCTCCCAGTATATCATGCTCACCCCCTAATCTGAGATAGAAGATAAGGTACACACTATAAAAACACACCACTGCCGTCCCACTGAACCACTGTCTTCATTCTTATCTGCTACCTGACTGAAATGAAGAAGTTCACTTCTAATCCCACCTGTATACATCCAGTTGGAGTCACTGCTTCTGGCTCTCCAGAAATAAGAGATGAAAAAGGTCATGGCTGAATGAGAGCAGCCTTTGTAAATGGACTTACTTGTCACCCACACTGCTGATGCCACATTCTCACTGACTTGGGTCTCAAGGCCTATCTGCTTGCCTATGTCCCACCACATTGGAGAGCTATCCATCTGGTGTGTCTCTGCAGTCTGCAATCGACTTCCAACTACAAGCTCAAGTTTCCTTCCCTGATCTCAGCCCCCTCAACCACTTGTCAAGCTCTCCAGTGACTTAATTTCTCTCTTCTACTTGAATCCCACAGCACCTGCTCCACTTTCAGCCTCTCCTGCTGGCCTCCTCACTGAGCCTCTATATCTTTTCCTCCAAATCAAAACCCGCTGTGCTCTGCTACTTGGGAGGGCTGAAGGAAGGATCAGATAGATACTGCTAAAATATGCAATGACCCCTTCATCTGCATTTCCAGGAAGGTTGGAGAGAAGTGCCGAGCTCAGGAGATGTGACCATGTGTTAGGTAACAAAGAGTGTGACAGAAATGTATAGCAGTTGGTGGGGAGGAAATCACACAAAGACCTGGAAGTAAAATACACCAGAAGTTCTGGTGGCTAGGGTACACCACCTGTCAAAGAAAGACTCTGGGCCACATAAAAGAAGAAGTACAGAAGACGAATAAGGTCTAAAGATCTAATGTATAACATACTGACTAGAGTTAATAACACTATTGTATAATTGAAATCTGCCAAGAAAGTAGAACTTAAATGTTCTCACACAAAAAAGAAGTACAGAACGTTCCATAGTATATGTAAGGGATACAAATGATCAGGTTGAAAAATCTTCTCCTTAAAAAAAACATCATTTTTTTGACATTCCTATGGGCAAGCTATGAATCTCAACGTAGTCATTACTCGCCATGTAGATGATTTCACACTGTGTAAACCATTTTAATTAAGTAAAAAGTGGAGTAAGTTACAGGCCCGTGATTGTCACTTGTCTTCTTAAAGGTCCTGAGACCTGATGTCTCTCCTATTAAATATGAGCAGTCTATGCCATACGTAAAATATGTGCCTTGAATTAAATGACATCTCCTTGCTTCAGAGTTCCAAACTACTCATATTCTTCAGGCTAGCAAAAATGTCCACTTCAGAAGGCTAAGGCTATCAAGATTCCATTTCTCTGCAGATTGCCACCTAAGAGATACAGCTTAATATCATCAAAAGGACTGAATCTTTGATAAGGAAGAAACCGTATTTTTTTTTACAGTTGAGTCAATGTCCTGACCAAAGAAACCACTTCCTCGGAAAGAGCGTGGAACAGATGCAGGTGCAGCAGCTGTCAGTGCTTAAGCAGCTGCATGTCTACAGGGCTTCGAGGTGGAAGGGAAGGTGGGCTGGTGGGGGTCGGAGACTATCTAAGTAGGGTTATGGCACTTGGGCGTTGAAAGGAGTGTGTTCTTACAAACTCACTCTTCTCTTTATCTTATCTGGACAAAAAAGTAAACAGAAAATTCTCATTACCTCTCAATGTCAGTGAGCCTGGAGGAGTCCCGGAATCCTTTGGCAAAAGGGTTGCTATCTATTTTCAGCTTGGTTATCTGCAAAAGAATGAATGAGTAACAGAACAATATCATTTCCGAGGTCAAGGAAGCAAAATCAGAAATAAAGAGTTTGTTCATTTTCCATGCTGCCCCAAGAATACTTAATGTCTTTCAGGATCGTGAGAAGGGTGGAAAGTGATAGAGAAGTTCACAGGAGGGAGGATTCACAGCCCAGTGGGACAGTTGGTCAGGGAGGGCTTCAGAGATGAGGGATTTGAGGACTGGCTGGTCCTAGAAAATAGCCCGAAGGTCAATGGATAGAGACAATTAGGGAAGGGGCCTTTTGTGAACAGTGTGGCTGCAAGGTGAAGAAATGCTGCCTCCTGCTGACTTGGCAGCATCATTTGTGAATCCTATAGGCGTGCATATATATATACATATATATACATATATATATATGTATATATATATATAACATAATGGAGAAAAAGATAAAATGGCCAATAATAGCTTCATGTTCAATACTGTACTGAAATACATGACATAAATACATGATATAAAGCTTTCAGAATATAGATTTACCCCTGCTCCCCTTCCATCTGACCAAATTAAATCAACCAGTCTTTTGTTATCCTCCCATACAATGCTATTTATAGACTCTGTGCTTATATAAAAAAAAGTATTCCTTAATAAGAATCACAGTCTGAAGGATTAAGTATTTAGTAAGATGTGCTAGTCCATAATTCCCACAGTATTAATATAAAAAGATCCATTAAATCATATGCGCTGTGCCTCCAAAGAAACAGACATTAGGTTATGAAGCAAAAAATAAACGCTGAATAAAAGATACTCGAGACTCATAAAATTCCTGATTAGAGCCAAAAGGAACCCAGAAGGACCAAGACACAGCTAGTCACTCTCTGAATTAGAACCATAGACACCTTTAAAGAGAGTCCTAGCTCACTGGCATCAGAACAAGAACCCACACTAATCTTTAGAGAGAGATGCACAAAATAGTCTTAGCCTGGAGAAAAGTTTATAAAGTTGAGGCATGTCCTCCTCATAAGCACTAAACACAATTATAGATTGCCTGAAATACTCTCTCACCAAAACACAACGTTTTCTCTGATCAGAGTGTATCTGCTATTCATTTTAAATCATTAACACCTAAAAATTGCCTTTTTCATTACAAAAGAAAGGCATTATTTCCCTTTTCGAATTTTCTAAATATGAGCTAACCAATGTACAAGTTGCAAAGAAGCTACTCACCTCACTTAAAATAGAACTTCCCACACTATCCTATCCAGAGACCCCCCTTTTCTGTCATGAACACTGACTAGTTATAAGATTGATTATTTGATAGTATTAATTTCTAAGAGTGCATGACAGTGTCTCACAAATGCTCACTGTTAGCCTTTTCACTCTAGTGCAGCCAAAAAAAAAAAATTACTAATTTCCTTTTCAGCTTAGTTAGTGGACATGATAAACAAGGAAGGAAGGAAGAAAACTGTTCTTAGTGAATAACAGCAGCTAATTTAAATTTGCATATAAAGAAATACACAGGAACGTCAGAGGTTGCCTCTAATGTGTAGCCATCCAGAGTTTGTAGACAACCTTCTCTAGCACACTGCTACCACGGTCATAGCCATGGATTTCTCAAGGGCGAAGTCTGTTTCAGCCATCTTTCAGACTACAATTTAGTTTTGCAGGTCCATTTTCAGGATGCAGGAGAAAATTTTTATTTGTCCCAAATAAACCATAAGTATCTTCTAAAGCACAAGCAATTAGTACGTCCTAAGATTATAAAACACCAACTAGATTTTTAAATCCTCAGTCAGGAGCTGCGTCTCTTTCTACTGAATAATTAAAGGTTAAAATGCCGTATATTTCTAAAGTGCTTTATGGTTCATGAAAGTGCTTTCAAATTAATTCATTGACAAATATTTAATGAGAATGGATTACTTATCATGCACTATGCCAAGTGTTGGATGGTACAGAGATAAAGAACACGTGGGCCCTGCCCTAATGGAGCTTCAAACTGCAAGGCACAAGCAGAGGGACACAAAGCTTACCAGAACTGAAGGTGATTTACATGCCACTAAAGAGGGTGACACCACATCCACTGCAGTGTTAGTGATTTAAGCGTGAAGCAAACCCAGATGAAAATTTCAAACTGAAACTGTGAGGTAGAACAGTAAGTCTTCTTTCAAGCTCAATTCCTATCAGCTAATTAATAAAATGTAAAAGTGAACAGATAAAATGTAAAAGTGAATAGATAAAACTGCATGGAGACAATGACAGAGGGATGCCTGGGTGGCTCAGTTGTTAAGCGTCTGCCTTCAGCTCATGGGATTGAGCCCCGCATTGGGCTCCCTGCTCGGCGGGAAGCCTGCTTCTCCCTCTCCCACTCCGCCTGCTTGTGTTCCCTCTCTCGCTGTGTCTCTCTCTGTCAAATAAATAAAATCTTAAAAAAAAAAGACAGTGGCAGATATCTGATGGAAAAAGTAATTTTGAAAGAAGTCCTTTTACAGCCCTTCCTCTAAGACGTGAACTGTATCATTTAGTTTGAGTCTTTACAAACTAAAAGAATAGAAAGTATTATCTCTCTGTTGTAATGATTAAAGGACTTTTGATCTGCTTGGTCCCTGTGAAGGATTTTGAAAATTGTATTTGCTTTTCTTCATTATTTCCAAAAGGTAAAGACTATAGGTTCAGGATATGACGACGACTGTCATAGAGAATAAACACTCTCAGCAAGTGTGTGTTGTTCAAGCGGTATGTCACCATACATACCATTACTGCCATCACTCTGAAAAAGTGAATTACATTCAGCAAGTTTTCAGATGTCTTTGGAATTTTCTTTCTTCATTGGAATTTTCTATTTCTAGTATCTTTTTAGTCCCTCTTTCATAATACCCAGGCAGATCACTGGTAACTTTTTTTCTTTTTCTTCACATGTTGATATAACTTCAAACTATAGCAAAGTTTCAAGAATAGAATGAGGTACTCTCATACACCTAGATTCACCAATCAGTTACAGCAATGATTTGACGTTAGTGTGCTAACTAGAAATGGAGCTTGAGACTTTCTCCATAGACCATTTTATCTAATTCCAGGGAAAATAACTGCTTTTGGAAGTTAAAGGAAATAAAGCTGAATGGATGTCTAATTACTAAAATTGTAGGGGGGTCCCGGAGTAACACTACAATTTCGAACAGGTTTTATGGAGTACCAAGTAGCAGCACAAGGACTGTGAGTTAAACTTCTTAATGCACCCACCATGCTCACTGTGCTATCACTAGTCTCTGAGTTTACTGGGGTGTCAGCAGTAAGCACCCCCAGAAATGTTTGTTGAAGTTTGCTTCAAGGACAAGCAATGAGAAGTAGGATTTCATCTTTTTACCAGTTATGGACTAGCAAAACTTCCTGAGTTTACCTAAATAACATTTCATTTTGCTTTCTAATTTTAAAATAAAATAATTTTTAAATAGCAAGATTTTAACATTCCAGGTAATCATACATTTTTAAAAGGTCAGGCATAGATTTTATTCCATGGATATTTCAATGAAAACTGGTAGTAACAGAGAAAGAAATTCATTTCTGAAGATACAGTTTTATATCCCTTTATACTATTTGGGATAACTGAAAAAGTTCTACATCTGCGAATTGACGAGAGAAAGGACCCAAGTTACAGACAGTGATCTCAGCTGGACCCTAATACAGAATCCCTGCCCCTGTGTGTAACGCTGTTCGACAATATCATCCATGTCAACGGTGAAACTGCAAAAAGGATCCCCAAAGTAGCCAACTACCAAATATAATATGTTTAAAAATATATATATATGAAACTACAGGTACAGCTTGTAACTCAAAAGCAACATTTAAAAGTAGTAACTTTTTTCATTTTGTGAGGAAAAAGCGTTACAGGGCAGCTCTGCATGCTTAAGAAATCCCGCAGTTTTGTGTATATGCAAATCACCGACTAATTCAGGCCAAAACACAGCCACTGTTTTTTCATCTGTTATCTCAATAATATAGGACATAATGCATTTCTTAGCCAGAAAATTCACTCTTAACATCTCCTTTATCTATAGGTCACAAGTGTATGCAAAACCAGAGAGCAGATTTTGACACTGCCGTGGCACCGATGAGGGTGGGGGGGGGGACCTCTCCCAGTGGTCGTTATCCCAAGTGATACCGCTGAACTCTGGACCCAGCTGGGGTGCCCAGCCACAAGGTGAAATTGGTCCCCAGAGCCCATTTCTCCAATTATCAGGAAAAGATCTCTCCAAAGGCATTTAAAAATGAAACCTGACCTACACTTCAACTCTACAGCAATGGTCGGCCCGCTCAAAAACAATGCATGACCTTTAAATCTGAAATTATAAGATAGTTTGTTGAAAGTGTAATGTATTTAGGTTTTATCTAATAATGTAAAGAAATGCAATCATTTCCTTGCAAAAAAAAAAGAGAGAGAAATAGCAAAATATGCCCCATTTTCATTACTTACAAATAAAACTACCACCCACAATAAATGAGAAGGTTTTTCACAAATTCTGTTGGAAACTGAATTGGCTTTTAATAGATATAAAAATAACAGTCCTGTCCAAAGTTTAAGAGATATGAAAGTGATCCTAAATGTGAACTTTTAAATCTTCCTCTCTTTTCTTTCTGTTCTTGTGCATGGAAAAATTCTAATCCTTATGCTAAGTACATGTTTACTTCCTATATATTTATTTTATTCTATATCTGGTATAGGAAAATAGTACACAAGCATGGGTGCAGCTGTGAAAAAGTGGTAGATGTGGGGAGGCTTGAGAAAGAATCAAAGATAAGTTTAGAAAATTGCTTAAGACTAATGAAAATACTAACGCCCAAACTGATTTATTCATCCCACATATGTTTATTGAACATGAATTTCGATTGGTCTTATGAGGTTTTAAACCATAAAATAAAAAACTGGCTTATTAGTATACCAAATGAAATCTTTGACTATTACCTGAATTTCAAATATATATATATATATATATATATATATATATATATATATATATATACACACACACACACACACACACACACACGCATGGAAATTATGGTTTAAAGGTAGATGTAAAGAAATAAATTCAGACACAGCAGGATCTATTGAGAAAAATTACTTCTGAATCTAATCACTTCTATTGTGGATTATTTAGCAATGAAATGATATACTAATCATATTAATCTTTATACTTAATGATGCAGTGAATGAGAGCTAGGAACTGGTAACTAGATTTTGAGCCCATTTATAATCTCAATTAGAAATAAACATTTGCAAGAAGAACAACTAATGTTAGGATGTGTGTTTATTAGTACCTTTGTCTGTTTTAATTTAGCAACATTTTCAAATTCATTTTCGAAACCTTGACATTGTCAGTGGTCACTTCCTTGGGCCTGCAGTCTAGTTCCCATGAGGTCGCCAAAGGAGGCATTAAGACCCAGAAGATGGTTCTGTCACTTACCAGATTTGTTACCTTGGGCAAATGTATTAACCACTCTGAACCTGCTTTTTCATCTATAAAACGGGGCTCCCAGGGCCTTCTTCGGGAGACTAGTGTCAGAATTAAATGAGATATTCAGAAAAAATGTAGATAGTTTTTTTCTAAATTAAAAGTAATAAACCCAAGCCATGAATGTTAGTTGGATCCTAGTTCAAAGGGGGGAAAGGATGGGGCGCCTGGGTGGCTCAGTTGTTAGGCGTCTGCCTTCGGCTCAGGTCATGATCCCAGCGTCCTGGCCCCACATCAGGCTCTCTGCTCAGCGGGAGGCCTGCTTCTCCCTCTCCCACTCCCCCTGCTTGTGTTCCCTCTCTCGCTGTGTCTCTCTCTGTCAAATAAATAAATAAAATCTTTAAAAAAAAAAAAAAAAAACAAAGGGGGGAAAGGTTGTTGGTCCCTCCTGGAAATATTAATATGAAACTGAATTTTAGAAGATATTAAGGAATAACTCTTATTAATTTTCTTAGCTGTGAAAAAGACATTGTGCTTACAAAAATAATATTCTTATTGTCAGTATGTACTTGTAGAAATATTGACAGGTAAAGTATCATGATGTATGCTACTTAGTTTCAAATGATTCAGGGAAGGAGAAAACTACATATACAGAGAAATAGAGCAGGCGAAGTCCAGGAAGGTCACCTTGAGTTATTTAACCCCATGCCTCAATTTTCCCAGCTGTAAATACAACGAACAAATACTGTTTGTTCCTATTTTATAATATCCTTGTGAAGATTAAATAAGACAATTCACTTTAAATGGTTCCCAGCACATAGTAAGTACACAAATATTAGCTATTGTTACAATTATGGAGATAAAACCTCATATTCCAGTGTACCATGACCTGAGAGGTCCTGCCAAGGTTTATTCAGGACTGCTCCTTCACCTATCAAACTAAATCTATAGTTTCTTAGAAACTTTCCTTCAATTTTCTTCAGTCTATAATTTTCATTTAAAAAAAAAAAGCAATTTACCTATTCTTGCTTTGGTTTTCTTTACAGAGAATTTTGATAAAAGCAATGAAATTTTCACATGACACGTTTCTGGTTTATTCTCAAACATCAGCAGACTTCTTGTAGAAGGTACAAATCTAATGTCTTATAGTATAAAAGCTATAAATTCAATTCATGTAAAATGAATGTTTTAGGAATGTTCTCTGAATCTATATCTGTTTTACATGTGTCCTCGAATAAAAACTGGGATAGTTGATGTCAATGTTTCAGATTCTCAGTGAAACAGTATTAGGGTTTTATACCCCTGTAGGCTTCAATCTATACCCAACTTTTTAGCTTGGTCATTCTCTGAAAGTTTCTACTCTTGTGTTGTTGCCTTAGAGACAACCAAAAAGTTTTAATACTTTGCTTTTAAGATTAGTATGATAACATTTGTGCCTTCATTTAGCTCATTAAAAAAATGTGCCACTAACATTTTAAAATCCAAAAAAGTGACAGTTTTGTCACTTTGAACACTCCAGAGACAGTCCGATAGTCACCATATGCCTTATTTATAGGATGCCTGACAGTTTCCACACAGCACCACATTTGATCCTCACAGGAATTCCCAAGATGTTCTGGGCAGTTCTTAGCTCCAGTTAACAGGTAAGGAAAATGGCAGTGGTGAAGTAAAACCTACTCCAAGCCATACAGAAATTATAGGTGCTTATGCCTTACAGACACACATCCACTCCTGCCTTTTGCTCACATTCCTTCCCTGGGCTCCTATTTCCTCATTTGTGTAGGGCTACCTGGGCTCTCAGCTTCACCTTCTTACTTTTCTCGAGAGACACAACACCAGATCTCCTCTGACTGACCTATCCCACTCGGCCTCTGAAACATCTATCAGGCATGACCTTACAATTACTCATTCAGAACCCAAAATATAACAATGTCAAAACAAAAAGAGGGCAATAGTCCTGGCTACCTTAAAACTAACCAAATAAAGGCAAGCTACAAAGACCTAGAGAGGCCACAAACAACCAAATTTGTCAAGTAAACTGAATTGAGTTCTTTTTACTGAAGTATATCAGAGGAATTCTATTTCTGGTCCTTCCTGACCCTGAAAAGTTACTATCCTCTCTTCGCTTCAGCTTCCTCACTACAGAATATTCCTATGACCCCCAGTCTTCAAGGTTATGCTGACCATGAAAGAATAAAATATATGGGGAAGTAGTGACCAGCACCCAGCCCTCAGTAAGACTTTGATAGTTATTAACTGAGTTGGATTAAACCTTATGGATGAAGAAATACATAAACTTGAAATGTGCTATATATCAAAAAGTAGAAACTATAAAACTCAATATTATAAATTAGATATCTTGAAGTTGATTAAATATACACTGCTTACATGCTATAGTTTATTATCTAAAGAGACATTTAAAAAATCCTTCTACTAGAATTACCTTAAATTACAGGTGAATAAGCTTCACAAAATTTCTGAAGTACCAGCAGTCTGGGTAGTTGGCTGGAATATGTGTGTTAATTTCGCAGAAAAACTGAATCTCTAAATTTTGTGAAGCAATGAGTGTATGGTTATATACATCATGAGGCTCTACCAAAAGGAGGAAAAAGAAGCAGGTGATTTTCTCAAGAAAAAAATTGGAGAAGTCAGATGGGGCAGATCTGGGTGGGAGAGTGGGCAATGAACAACTGACCAAGAGTATAAAGATTCTAGAAAAGATGGTATAATACAGACCTTAATAACCTTGAGCCATGGTCACTCAACATGCTTAGAGGTTCTGCGGCTGATATTCAATAGCACTCACCAAAGCGAACTTTGATTTTGAGTACTGGGATAGCCCTTCTCTCCAAGAAAATGAAAGAAGCTCCTAAATCTTTCCCTTATGTAGGAAATGAATGGTCAGTGTTGAACTCACCAATTGATTCTGGTAGGCAGTGACTGCTGTGAAAACGGTCTCTGGGAAGATGAATGTTCTGAATTCTTCTGACTTCAGATTGAGCAACGAGGCTGTGTGGTCTTTCTTCTTAATGATGTGCACCCGTGGCTGGTACTTGTGCATTGAGTTCAAAATGATCTATGATGAAGAGATGGGAAGTACTAATTTTTAAGTATTCATATTGCTAAACAGGCCAAAGTTCAATGAGGCAAAGAAAGAACCGTAAGATCTCAGCTTCGAATTCAAGTTTTAAGATCAGGACATACCCTTTCCATTCGCAAGGCAAATCCTTTTCATAAGTATTGCAGAGTCATGGTTGTGAAATCATTTTATCAAAACAGCTGTACACAATATAGGTTGTTTCAAGGGTCCTTTCTAAAATGATGGAGGGAAAGTCATCTGAAGGATGTTGATTTTTGTTTTTTAAATCAAGTCTTTAAAATATTTTTTGTTAGTCTGGTTAGATCAAAGGATGTATGGTCTAAATTTTCTAAAGTAAGAACTTATACATTCTAGGAGGACAGATTGCTATTTATGGTTGGGGGGGTGGATACAAAGAATTAAGAAAGGCTGTGTGGTACTAGACCTCAGAGTGCTAAGCCTGTTACTCTCTAGTTCCTTCATCTTGAGCCAACTGATCTCACCTCTCCAACCTTGTTTTCTCAAATGCAAAAACATACGTCACAGAGTTGTAGGAAGGATTAGATGATGTAGCCCTTATAAATTACATAGCAAATAGGAAGTGTTCAGTAAACATGAACATTATTATTGTTATTATTTCTGACAGCTTCATTGATTCCTGGCTTCCAGTTATAAACCAAATATGAATGAGAGTGATGACCATCTTCCATTCTATAGCTAGTAAAAGTTGCCCAATACTTAGAAATCATGAGCCTACTTTGGTTAACAAGGCAGTATTTTTCATGTGTCTTTTGATTTGCCATTATGAAATCTGAGCAACAAGATTTACTTTCAGATATGAAAGTTTTTCCACATCTTCCCCCCTGCCACTCAGACAGCTACCTAAATCTACCAAATTGGGTGTGTCTTTCCTGGGCTCACACTGTATGCCCTTCATCCCAAGGGCCTCGCAGAGAGCCTGGCTCTCGGGGGAGGCATGTGATACATACTGTGGCAGGAGCAGGGTCAATGGCATGTAGTGTTGTTGCAACTGACGGCGCCCCTGTTTTCTTGGCTACCATGGGTGTGGTAGATGAGCGTTTTTGCTAGCTGACTTTAACAGAGTTAAATACTAGTCACTGTGGGATGATTAATATAGAATCAGTTCCTCCCTGTGCTGAGACGTAAGCCAACTTAAAGTTACAGGGCATTAGCTGGTACTGAATTTTGAACATGCCATCCTTTTATGGTCCCAAGCCTGAATAGGAATCACTAAAACAAATGAGTTTCAAATGAGCTGAAATAGATTAAAAAAAAAAAAAGTCATCTCTTTATATAATGTGTTTATTTCAGGGAGTTCAAGATATTTATGCTCACTCATAAAACTGGAATAAACTCAAAGTGACAATATCTAACTTATATCTAAGATATATTTATATATCTTAGATCTATCTTATATCTAACAATGATATAAGAAAAAACCTGGGCATTCATTATATGTTGTACTAACAAGTTAGAAAGAATTTTCACACACACACACACACACACACACACACACACACACAATGGAAAAAGCCCTAAGCTTTAAATAATATCCCTTCTCCCCTACTTACACCATCCCAAGGTCAATTTCCTTCAGGAAGGGGTGCCAGAGAGACTCAAACCTCAGACTGAATCTCAGCCCCCAGCGCTCCTTGACTCTCTGCTCAAGACCTCATAAGTCTAAGGAACACTAATAGAAATGTCAACTTTGCTTCACTGAAGAAATAAATTCCCTGAAGTAAAGAATTTTCCTGTTATAAAATGAAAAATGCATCTATAAGAAGGGCTTCTTCAAAACTAATTCAAAGGACTTGGCTGAACGACACAGGATCTAAAAATTTTTTCTTGTAGTTTTCAGAACACATTATTTATGGTGACAAAAGGTTATATTAAATAATAAAATTTTAAAGCTAAAATGGATATTAACAACCATCTAAGACTAAATAATCTGCCAAGGTCTAATCTTGGCATAATCAGATGAGAACTCAGAGCTCCTAAAATACAGTTTGGTGCTATTTCCACCCATGAAGTCGATATTAAAAGGAAAACATATTAATTCTGGACAGCTGATCTCAAAATGAATTCTCAAGTCTTTCTGGAAACTCCCAAATAGTGCTTCTAAAAGCTTCACATAAGGGCACCTGGGTGGTTCAGTCCATTAAGCATCTGCCTTCGGCTCGGGTCATGATCTCAGGGTCCTGGGATGGAGCCTCATGTCCAGCTCCCTGATCAGCAGGGAGTCTGCTTCTCTCTCCCCCTCTGCTATTCCCCCTGCTTGTGCTCTCTCTCTTGCTCTCTCTCTCTCAAATAAATAAAATAAAAAAACACAACTATTCCAAGACTTTCCTCAATGATTTAAAAAATAATAAAATTAAAAATAAATGAATAAAAGCTTCACATATGGAAAATATCACAACCATAAAAAATTTCATTTCTCCCTGCAAAGATTTCAGTGGAGTCAAGAAATTTTAATATGAATGACATTAAGAATGATCTGGCCTGCAGAAAATGTCTCCCAGATACTTCATCATTTTTAATCTGAAAAAAAAAAATCTATCAATGAAAACATCTCTTTAAAAAAGCAGAAAAAGACAATTATCCCAACATTCTTAAAGATAAAAGTCAATTATCTTTTCCAATACATAAAATAACAGAAACCTATTAACCTATTTGCAACATCGCAACAGTGCCACCAGCAGAGTCATGAGTTAACCTGGTTACTCTGATTTGGTCATGGGTGGGCAAATGGGTGGTAGCAATGCCTAAAGTGATTTATTTGGTTCCAATTTCACTCAAACCATTTGAAACCATTGGCTAGAACTCTCTAACTTATATCTACTTATAACCATCCTTTTTGAGAAAAGTTCGGAAACTACTAAATTGCAGAGATCCAATTAAGAATGAAAACCTTAAGTAACAAGAGTCTTAATAAAGGGGTAAGACAGAGAATAATTATATCAAAGTATCTAAGCCAAGGGAAGCAACCAATGAATTGCTAATGTGTTTCCTGGCAAATCGAGGCAAAAAAAGAAATAGTCCTCTCCTTATCAAAAAGTATGCAAGTCTCAAGTTTTCTTAGTATAAAAATCTAAAACAATTTTTATGTAAATCTTTCTTTTAGAGCACAGAATAACATCATAGTTCCTTACAAAGCAGTCTTATCAAATGTGTAAAGGCCTGTGTCAATGGCTATTTGTGCTATTAATTATTGATATGGGCTCAGAATTCCAATTTCTCTTTTTCCATATTTTGATGAACTCCTTATGACAAAAAATCAAACTGTTTTGTTTTTAATTTCAAGACTTCTCTGTGCTTTACTCTTCATAAGACTCTCTACAATAGGGGTAGATAATGAGTAAAGAGCACTTCCCCAAATTTATTTGGACACAAAACCCTTTTGTTCTATTGCATCTCACATGAACAGGCTCTACAAAACACACTTTGGGAAATCCCCATAGGAGATGTCAGCCCCATTTCCTTTACGCTGTGTTATCTAATATAACACTGACAGAAATCAGATGTTTCACCTAAGAACTATCATAGCCTCCAGAATGCACATTCCCTTTGTTTAGCTGGTGCAGGTAGTAAAGTAGTTGCAGTCTTGGGAAATTCGTAGTGCCGAACGAAGGTCCCAGACCCTCTTGCATAGAAATGGCATATGGCATCCCTGTAAGTCGAAGGTCCCAGACCCTCTTGCATAGAAATGGCATACAGCATCCCTGTAAGTGGCCTCTTAAGAAGAGCAGTCAGGGTTCCCTGAACAACACATGAATGTTCTCACAGAATAACTGAGAGATGGAAGATGGGATGGGGAAAGGGAGGGGAAGAAGAAATTGAGAGGGAGGAAGTTCTGAGTGACTTCTCCATTCCATCCCAGGGAATCCACATAATCCAAGGCGCTGTACTTACATGGCCATGCTGATCCAGTTCGTTGTTGGTGAGTTTCACCTTTTCAAAAGACACCATCTGTTTGAGTAGCTGCTCACCAGTAAAAGGAGAGTCTGGGTGTACGTACAACCTAAGAAAATTATGAGAATGTTATTGAGACATCTTTTAAAACTCTGTTCTCTGTGGGTTATAAAATATTCTGATTCTAAAGGAACACAAAAACCTCATATAAATGGTGAATTTTATTTGCCCCAGATAATCTCAAATTTAATAATCTAACAGTATCAAAATAACTCTAAAACATCTAAATATGTTTCTTCATGTACCGATGATCTAAAAGGGGTAATACCTAGTAAATTTTCTATTGTCTGCTCAGCAAGCCATTTTTAAAAAGGTGCATATTTTTCCATCCATCTAATCAACTATTGGTCTGCTTCAGTAAAATACAAAATTTTATTACTGTTGTAGTATATTCAAAAGACAGACTAGTTTATACTAATTGTATAGTTCCTAGTATAAATACTGCTAAAAAGCAATGAAGGCATAAAGAACTGAAGAGGAAACAATTTTAGAGAATTCATTCATTTACACTTGAGGATGACTCAGTTTGAAGTTTATAAATACAAGACAAAGTAATTTTAATACAGCAATGTGGCTAACTCTTAATAGTCCACAGATCACAGTCTGTTGCTCCTTCCACTATCTTAAATACTATTACTTTCATCTAGTTAAGTGCCCACTAAATGACAGTGAAAATAAGCTGGATAAACCTCAAATTATTCAGTGCATTTATTCACAACCAGTTTTTTTTGGGGGGGGAACCTTTGATGGGAAAAATGTATTTATCAAGTATTTATCACTTATTGATCAGCTGCTACATGCGAGGCAATTTCTTCCTCATTCACAGTTAAATGCTGGCCATCTGTTCTACCAGGGATGGTTTACACAAAGTACAACACTTTGTAAATTCTAATCCTAGTATCCACTCGACATAAGCTTTTCTGAAGTCAGGGGAGATTACAGAACTCGTGAAAGAGAAGGAAATATCCCTGATTTAATAGGACAAATCCTTTTATCCATTTAACAGGTTATTTATATCTCAATTTTATATAGGTTCCTTATAATTTTAATTAAACATAAATATTATGGTTTGGGCAAAGTCAGGGGAGAAAGTCACAAGTACTTTCCCTGCAGTACTTATGGAAAAAAACCAAGAAGGCTGTGCCATGCTTTGTCACACAGAGGACTAAGTGCCCATGCTGACAGGCTAAAGCCCACCAGAAGCAGAGCACAAAAAAGGCACTAGAAATTCTCACTAGACCCATAGAAAAACTTTAAAGGCTTTAGGTGTGGGTTTTTCTGCCTATTTGTTTTGGAGGACTGCTCAAAAATGCCTTTCAATTCAAGTATTCCTTGATGACACAACCATAATACTGTTTCAAGTACACCCCTCCGAGGCTAAAACTTGACACGTGCAATGGTTTTACTGACCAGCACATCCTACCTACTCCGCCAAAAAAGTTTAAAAATATTTAAACTCCTAGAAGCTCATGAAATGTTCTTCTCTATCAATTCAACATGTGGAATCACATTAATAAAGTTTAACTTATTTAAATATCAGTTACTTTAAAGACAACGAAATGTCCTATATGAAAACACAACATTATTTTAGATAATGTCTTGCCCGTTGTTGAGATCAAATGATATTGTCAAGTATTATTTCTTCTGATTAGGAACAACTGACTGGTAAACTTCCATCTGAAATAAATATTTCAACAAGAACCACAAGGAATTTCCACCATCAATACAAAAATGATTACCTCCCATATTCCTCACCTTTTCCTTATGGAGCTATGAAATATAGTGCTATTTTTTAATAATAATAAAGAACATTTGCTTAAATTATCTAGCATATTTCTATCCTATAACACACTAAACATTTTTATCTAATATCAATATAAATAAACTGAAGTATGATGAATGAAAACGCATACAGGAAGCCCCTCCTCTCTCAAGTCCCCCAGGACTTAAAATTCCAGCAATAGCTTAAACATGCTTCAGTTAAGATAGTGTATTGGTACGCACTTTCCTTCTCCAACCAGAACAGATTAGTAACATAAACAAGGCATTTCATATTTCCAAAGTCCTGCTGGCGGGCACCAGTTCCCCAAACCTTCGGATAGTAAGAAAACATATGCTAAATAAGAGCGATTAACTTCTTAAAGGAAAGACTTTGAGGGGGGGGGAAAGGATGTGCTTGTAAAAATGGTTAGGAATCTGCTAAAATACCTCTCTCTCTCTCTCATTTAAAGATTTTGGAAAGTTTGGAAGGAAGCTTGAGAGTAATGTGAATCAGCTATTTAATAATAAATAGTAAAGAATACTAATTATAAACTACTAGAAACTGGTGAATCTTGCTCAATTTAAAAAAAAAGGGTATAACATCTTTTAAAAAGTTCTTACTCCAGTTATTTGTTATTTAATATGCTGATTTGGAAGGGTTGGGAAGATGTCCTTCCTAGTCTCTTGTGGGAATGGAAAACTCTGAGAGTTTTTTTAATCTCTTCTCCAGTGTATTTAGCATACTGTAAGCTCAGTAATGTGATTAATGACTAAGTAAGCGTAATATTCCATCTGAACTAGTTTGTGTAAATTGTCTGTGTTGGTTCTGTGCCTTGACTAAAACTCCAGACTAGATACTTACAAAGAACCAGCCATCAAAATTCCTAAATCTGTACATGTAAATAAATTCTGAATTCTGATATGAATTTCTAACCAATTAGAAAAATTAGATAGTCATAAAACAACTCAAAAACAGTAAGTCTTGGTTTAGAACCCTAAATGTAAAGTCTACTAATATCCTTTGTTTGTATTAAAGTGTGCAGTTAGGTTCCTATAACTTCAGCTACAACTTTTTGCATAAACTAATACATGCTTTTTTGTCCCCCTAGAAGGCTAATTTGGGTAAAGCAGAAACAATAAAAAACAGCATGTGATTTTTTAAACAGGGTTCTTCTTGAAAAACATTACTACCAATGAACAACATAATAATAAACATATATGATCCCTAACATACTGAGTAATGTTTCATGTAAAAGAATATTAACCTGATATTGAATTACATGCATCTACTGAACTTACTATGGAGAAGGGGGAAAAAAATTAGCTTTTCTTTTTTTTTTTTAAGATTTTATTTATTTGACAGAGAGAGACACAGCAAGAGAGGGAACAGAAGCAGGAGGAGTGGGAGAGGGAGAAGCAGGCTTCCTGCTGAGCAGGAAGCCCGATGTGGGACTAGATCCCAGGACCGTGAGATCATGACCTGAGCCAAAGGCAGACGCTTTAATGACTGAGCCACCCAGGCGCCCAAAAGTTAGCTTTTCTTACTTAAAATGTCTGAGTCCTTTATTGGTCAAAAACAACCACATTTCACCAAAATGACCTTTATTGTGTGCAGATATAACCATATTACTTAAAAATATTTACTATAAGCAACCACTTCACTAAAATGCACTCTTCTAAAAAGGATTTTTAGGGCAACCACTTCAGCATTAGCTGTATTCAGTCTGGTATTAAGTAGCCAACTAGAAATGATGGGAGCCCTATGAAATGGGTCCGGATTTCTAATGAATATTCTAACTGAAATTAGGAAAGCATGGAAATGAATTACGAGAAAGATAAAATTAAAGACAACATTCTGTCTCTACAAACTCTGCCTTTCTCAGATATTTTGTAGAGTCAGTCCTGGAGCATCTGGGCTTGGAATGCTTTCTACCAGAGCCCACCACTGTGCAAACAGATCTGCTTAAAATGCAACCAACCAGAGACATTCTGCTCTCAGGGTTAAGACGCATTTTGCTCTGCCCGAAAATCTGGAGGCACAAACCTGGCTGGCAGCGGCGGGTCTGCCTTGCCAGCCACCAGCCAGGAGGACCGGTGGTAGGCGTAGCGGTACCTCTTGTTGTCCACGGGTACGATGTCCATCAGGACTATGTACTTGGCCTCAGGATCCACACCCGAAAATGACACTCGGATGGTGGGAAACATCCTCCTGACACAGGGAAACAAAGAGAATCGGCCACAGCTCATACTGCCAGAGGAGCCCACAGAATTAAAGAGGGAGGTCCTACTCCCCTCCCTACCCGGCCCCAAGCCCTTTTTTGTCTCCACAGAGATGTGAATTCGGAGATCTTCCTTCTCCCAAGCAGAAATAATTTTAGGCGTCACCTTTTCCGGAGTCCTCATTGCTAGGTGAAAAGTTCTGTTTTGTTCTCTAATACCCAAAGGTCTGTGATTAGGGAAAACCTTAGGTTACATTATCAAGCCTGTTAGGCTCCCAAACCAAAGTCTCTGGAGCAGACCGAGTCGCCCAACCCCTAGGGTGGCAGAGAGAAAACTCTGCCCCAGCCACAGAAATCTAGGGCAGGACTGGGTTTCCAGAGACCCTGGGGGTATTTCCCAGGGTCCAGAGAGCTGGAGTGACCAGGGCTGCCATTGGCCACCTTTAGAGTCTTTGCCCCAGGCCTGGGGAGCCGCCTGCACCCCCCGGGGCTTCCGGCCCCACGGCACCAGGGGGCCTGCAGCACCAGCACTCTGTCCTACACAGAGTGTGGTCGTTTCAAATTTCATTCTTCTGCACAGGTTTTAGTTTTGGTTTTTAATGGGAGCTGGCGGCTTTTGCAAATTGAGACCAATAAAAGGGAAGCTACCTGCCTCCCTCCAAGTACCCAGCAGCCCGCCCTGCACTCCCAGCATGAGTTCCCTCTTCCCTCCAGATGCCAACCCTGCAGCCCAAAGCCCTCTCAGATTGCAGCGTCCCAAGATCACTGGTCCCTGCATCCCTCTCATCAAGGCCAAGTTGGGTTTTTCATGGCCAGATTGCGAGAAAGCGAATGCTTATACGTCTCAACAGTTCTCTCCAAAAGCAAGTCAGGGGAAAGAAGCCCTCATTAAGCGAAGCTTCATTAAGCGAAGCTCTCTCAGTGCTCTGGATTAGTGGGGTTTCACCCAGTTCCTGGGAACACCCTAGGCCACCCAGGGCGCTCTTCTCACCACCCCACTCCTCACACACCAAGACCCCCGCTACCTGCCCGACTTGGTGATGATCATCTCTGTTCCCAGCTCGTGGAATTTGTCCCAGAGCTCCTTGGTCTCCAGGCTGCAGGCAATTTTGGCCATTTCCTCACTGGGGATGATGGGGGTAGTGGGAATCAGCGGCTCAGTACACAGAGAGGAGGAGGATGGGCTACTGCTGCCCCCGCCACCAAACTCCCCGTGAGCATCCAGGCTGGTCAGTTCGCCCAGGGGCTGGGCACACGATGACTTCTCAACAAATTGTTCTGCGGGCAAAGAGAATGGAGGATGACAGCTAACACTGTGAAGCAAAGACACAGGAAGGAGAACAACACAACTGAAATAGGTTCTGGACTTGACTTTGGAACAGTTAAGGTCAGAAACTCCAGGAAGGCAGTGATAACCCAACAATATATATATATTATCTCCCTCGATACACACACACACACACACACACACACATCTCCCTGGAGTGACATACTAAACCAAATGAGTTCTAGAACTAATAGCTTATTACTACCATTATGAAAGCCACTTTGGGGACAAAAAATATAAGGAGTGGATAAAGGGAAAGGAGGTGAACAAGAAAGATGAAAAGCAAATATTCCTTTTGTTATCCCTCTCAAGTTCCAGACTGCTTGTGGGATCTGGTGCCAGTCCTGCCTCTCTGACAACCAGGCGAGATTTTTCTCCAGGGAGACCAAGGGAATGAAGAGATCAGCACCTTCCTTACTTTGACAGAAACTCTCCCTTCCATCCGGAGCCTTCTCTCCATAAGAAAAAAAAATGAAAAGGGGAGGGGAAGTGGAGAAAAGCGGGGATGTGGTTAAAAGAAAAAAATTAAGTTACTTTACTTCTCTGCCTGGCTCTCCGTTTTCTAGGCTTTGATATGAGTGCATTTTTACAATATCCCTCCCAGCCTGAGATCTTATGAAAGACTCTAACATATCACAGAAGTGAGCTCCCCAGGCCATTTTGGGAACCAGTGTGAAACAACTGCTTGAGGGCAGTGTGTGTATTTTTCTCTCAAAAAAGTCCTGGAAGTAAGGAAAACAACCTCGACCCCAGGCTAGCAGAGTATTAAAGTAGAAAGAACGCCATCCACCATCAAGCTGGAATACCACTGCCTATGAACCAAACATTCTCCTCCACAGCTGATAAGGGCCCAGGACTACACCAGTCACTTTGATGGAATACAGGGGGACTTTTGTAATTGTCCCAATTATCTTGCATCCCTTAAAAAAGAAACTACTTGAATCTGCAATGCGAAACTGATCTCTAAACAACTCTGTTCTGAGTGCCCTCAAGGAATTGAAACAAGTTCTAAATGTAGGTATATACATATAAATGCTGTATAGCATATAAACTATTTTATTTCCCATATTTCTCCTTGACTTGGGGCAGGCAAGCAGGAAACGGAATTTTTACCTTTTCTTCTTTTACAATAATAATCCAACTCATTGTAACATTTTAAATTAAGGATGACCAAATTAATTATCTTAGCCTTCCATTTTCAAATTCAAAGAAAGAGAAGTATGCCACAGCACAATCTTATTTGCAACGAGTATTTTCAGAAACACATTCACGTAAGGTCTTCATAGGGAATCAACAAGTAACCTCAGAAATTTTCTTATTTTCTGACAATTGAAAAAGGCAAGTCCCTAAGCCCCAGACTAAAGACTGTCAGGGTTGGAAAGTGAAGGAGGAAGAAAATGATACAGAATTGCTCTAACACAATGTTATATGTCAATTGTATCTCAATTAAAAAAAATTTTTTTTAGAAATGTTCTAGTGATCTAAGGCAGTTCTTCTAAATAGATTTAGTGTGTTTAGATGGGCAAGCACAAGACACTTTTGAGTCCCCACCCCACAGCTCCTTCAACATCTCTCTTGTTCCAAAGTACCACATTCTCTCTTAACAGAACCTCTAGGTGTTTCTCTTGCGCGAGTCCTTGGCTTATTATGCTCTGTTGAACTGGCCTGTGGAAAGGACAAGAATGCCTTCTGCTTCTTTCAGAGCCTGTCTCAAAAGCCCAGGGGAGGGAATGTTCATTTTACAGACTGTGTGTGTTTGTGGTGGGGGAGAGGGGATGGCTTTATAATTTAGAATTTAGATAGAAGGTGGGTATTCTCAGGAAAAGAAACAGAAAAGAAAGCAATACTGAAATGAGCTGGAAATGGCATGTTTCTCAGTCTGCTGTCTGTAATTCTGACAGGAATTTTAACCCCAAGCGCTCTTTTCCTGCTAGCTACCAAACTGTGATGGGGGTGTTTATAAAGAATTCAGAGGCCCTCTAAATAGGAGTGGATAACGTTGGGCAGTTTCACAAATATAACTTTGAAATTGGTGGCTAATATTTCTGTAAACAGTTGGGGGTTTTGTTTCATTGGTTGTTACCATATTTTTTCCGGCAGGCTTAGATTTCGACAGGAGGGCAGGTGGGAAGAACCAGAAAAAGGGAGTGAAAACCTTGGAGGAGAGAATTTTTGACATTATATTTTCTGGAGATCTTCCGGTTTCCCTTTCCTTGGTTCTAAGCTGCTCCGGGGATTTTAGCTCTTTCTTTTCTCTCTGCCCGGCCCTCTTCTTTTTCATCTCTAACACTTTGTCTTTCATACTAGGATTGTTGTTTCAGATGTGAGATGTTAAAGTATTGGAAAGGACAGAGAGAAAAAAAAGAAAACACTAGGGAGAATTAAAAAAGAAATATTACCCTAAGTTTGCTATTTGACATTTCTCACCATTTTAGGACTATCAGATGATCAGGATGTGGAATAATTATTTCCCAGGGACCCAAGAGGTGATGATAACACTTCTTTCTCTGTCAATTATAAAGGAACTTTGAAACACTCAAGTCCAGCAGTTTCTTTCCCACACAGTTCACTTGTGCTCCGAGAACATAATCCTTATTTTCCCTTTACTCTGAGCCTTGTGTCTTCTATAAATGGTAAAGGTTGTTAAACAAATAGTATAGCTAAAAGTTGAGGAATTTGGAAAATGGTTACTGGCTAATGTTTTTGCCAACCTCCACTGAAAATGATGGCAGCTATAAAACGATGTCTCACTGATAAGTCTGGAGCTTCCGTGAAGAAAATGGTTCACGTGGGGAGAACTGGCTTATTCTACAGCACTTGACGGTGGTTTTAAGGAGCTGGTTCTGCTTAATCGATTGAAGTCAGAGGAAAAACAAAATTCAACTAGTTCCTTGTGAAGTCGCTTAGTCTCCTTGGTTTCAAATGCACACGCAGGTGTACACGCTTGGTAAATTCTGTTGAGTCTTAAAAGGGGTTAATTATTATTTATCCCTGACTGTTTTTATCCCAAAAAAGTTACACACACTCTCATACGTACGACTTGACATGGGGATTCTAGACGAAAAGGTAGGGAAAGTGGCTAGCGCATAGAGGAGACGCGAAACCGGCTGTCCGTGAAGTCCCCAAAGAAAATTTGGGCGGAAAAGGAAAGAGTCTTCAACCCCTAGCGTCGGGCGCCTGGCCTGAGGATCAGAAGCCGCCACCAGCAGGGAAAGGCAGCCACCCTCTCGAGCCTCCCGCAGGCAGGGGACGGAGGGCCAGACGGAAACGCGGCAGCCCCGCCCCTGCCCACGGCAGACATTCTGGACTCACCCAGAGGCTTGATGGTGTTCTCGGTGGCCTCCTTCTCCTTGGAGCCGCCGCTCGACATGAGCGCGGCGATGGAGAAGGCGTTGGCCCGGGAGGAGAGCTGTGGCTTCGGCGACGCCGTGAACTCCATGGCCCCCAGCGCGCGGTCCTGGCCACGGACGGGGCCTGCCGAACTGCCGTCCAGCTTCCCCAAGGGAGACAAAAACCGACACAGAGCGCAAAGTTTCCAAGTGCAGTCTCAGCGGAGTCGGCAACTCCAGATGAGTCAGCCCCAAACTCCCAAGAGCTCCACACTGGCCTCTGTCCCTCACCGCAAAGCCCTCCAGCCCCAAAGACTTCCAACTAGCCGGAGAGGACAGGACAGGACCAGCAGCGGGCTCAACCGGGGGCGCGAACACTGGGGCGCTCCGCAGGACCACGGGCTGCGCGGCCGGAAGGTGGAGACGAGCATCGGACGCGCAAAGCCCAGGGGTCCTGCCGCACCCCCTCTGCGTCCTTCCTCCCTCCACGCGCTGGGGAACAGCCGGAGCGGCCCAAGCTGCAGAAAGGTGGCGACCGGTGGGGCGCCGCTGCGAGGGGGCGGACGCCGGGGAGCGCGAGCGCAGGCGTGCCGAGCAAGGCGCGGCGCGGAGGACACTGCGCCCGGGCACTCGCAGCCCTGCGCCTTAATTTGCTGGCGGCAGCGATCCCGGCGGCCCGCAGCCAGTCAGCGCCGCCTCACGTCACCGCTTCCTGATTCCGCCGCCGGGGGCGGGGCCGCGGGCCGGGCAGGGAGGGCGCGCCCCGGGCGTGGTGCCCGCACGGCCTCGCGCCGCTACCGGCCGCGGACCTGGCGCCCTTTCGGAAAAAAGTGTCACCACCAAGCTGCCGCGGACTCCCCTAGCCTGGTCTCGAAGTCCCAGGGCGGAAGGGACGTGCGCGCGGTCGGGAGCGGGTATTTTTGAAGCGGCTAGGACGCGGGATTCTGGGAGATTCCCCAGTGCGGGAACCTAGACCAGAGGTAGCCTGGGGGAGTTCCTGCTTCTTCCGTTCTTTTTCTTCCCCGCGCTCAAAGTTGCAAAAGAAAGTTGGTAATCTCTGAATGGAGCGGAAACCGGCGCCACAGAGCCAGCACCTAACGGGCCAGATCCTATTCGCGGGACAGCTCCCAGGGCCGGTCCCTTCATTCGTTGGGCTCCAAAATCTGCTTGACATGGGGACTGGAGAGACACAGCTTCTGCTGCACATCAGTGCGCCACTTATGCGGGGTTCCTGTTCCCGAAAGGGACTCCGCAAAGTGGGGCCCCCACGAAGGGAAGGCTCGGGGCGGGCGCGGTGCCGCGGGGCGCGGCACCCTGCGGGGACCACGCGACACGCAGTGGGGGAGTGCGAGATTTACAGCGCCTGAGCTTGGTAGACAAGGACTCTTCTGCCTTCGCAAACTGGGCTGCGACCAGGACTTCCCACGGCCTTATGGGGGTCGTCCTGTTGGCCCTGTTCAGCTTGAATAACTCAAATTCTCCGAATTCGCAGGGTAATCCGCTTCACTTGGAGCCGTGTAAACTCAGGCTGACACACACACTCAAGTTGTACATGTAAATATTTGCGCTCCTTTCCAGCCAGTCGGTCTGGCGATTAGGAGCCTCTTGGTGGGTCTTAAAATTTAAAAGAAAGAGAAAACAGCTTGCATTTCCCACCAGCCCTTTTCTCCCCTCCCTGCACCCCTGCCCCCCAGTCTCCTGAAATAAACTTAGGGGGAAAAGCTAAAAAAAGTTGAGAACTTTTATGAAAGTGAAGTGATGACATCTGGGAGAGTCGTGATTTAAGCCACTTTTGCCAATGTGTATCAATAGTTTCTAACAAGGTGCTGCATGCAGGGCCAAAAAAAAACGCATTCTGCTATCAGTTTCCAGGTACAAAGTGTCTATGTGCAAATATTTGGGGAAATTCGTAAAATCATAGACTTTATTGCTGGAAGGGGTTTCCACGTTTCTGTAGCGTATCTCCATTTGCTTTTGAGAAGGAAACACCAGGTAAGGCTTGGCAGGGGTACATCTCCTTTCCAGTGGACCCAGCTGGCTAGAGGCAGACCCTCTAGTGCCGAACCGGCACTCCAGGCCACTGTCTCGGTCACAGGATGGCCCTGCAGCTGTGCCTGGGCTGTTCTCGGGAGATCGATAGTAGAGCTAACGCCGGCTGAGAGCAGAGGGCTCTCAGATTAAACCTCAGGAAGAACAGAGGCTAAGCCAACCAGGTGTGCCTAAGGATCCATTTCCATTCTTGAGCCTTTAAGTCTTTTGCTGTTTTTGGACAACCCAGACCCTCCATTGTTGTTGTTGAAGACCACTTCGTCCCCCAGCACATACCCCATCTCAATGCAACAGTGACATTTCCCTCTTGAATGTAAGGCACATACTGGTTCCTTTCCTGTCTCAGAAAGGGAGATTTCTGATAAGAGGGTTTTTTTGTTTTTAACTTTTTATCGGAGTGAGGGTGATGTCATAGTTGGTCCAGAGCTTAACATACGCTTCAAATGGGTGGTGAAGATCTTTTTGCTGGTTTTAGTTTTCAAAAACTTACGGAATTATACCGCAATTTTTAAAAACTTACCATTACTTTTCTACACAGAGGAAACATCGTTTCTTTTCGTAATTATCCTAATGGTTTAGAATGGAATTTGAATAATTTCATGACAGGGACATTTTTAGAAAAATTGGCCCAGCGAGGGGAAAGCTGACTTGCCCCCAATCAGTTTCCGCTTCCTTTTCCAATTGCCACGGCGGTAGCCCAGTTCTGAGTCTCTTGTGGGCAGAACTCCGACTATTCATCGTATTAAAGGTAAAATAGAAAGCACAAAAAGCTAAATGAGCGCGCGGAGGCAGGAGGCAAACCAGAGGAATTGAAAAGGCCACTTTAAACAAATCCGGGCGCGAGAGGTGAGCCGTTTGGGGATCCCTAACAAGCTATGTATCTTGTTGGTGTTGAAACCGCGGCAGTAAAATGTATACTACAATATAATTATGTGGGGGGGGCACCCCATCCCTTCTGTTAGATTTATTGCCTTTGCAAGTCAATATGGTGCTATGAAAACGGGGAACTGGGGCTTGGCAGAGAGATGCTGTCGGAGGGTAATTCGAAGCCGTCCTGAAGCAGAGAGCGCTGAAGTTCTGAGGTCCCTTCAAAACTCAGTGTTAGCGCGGGTTACAGGTAAAGCCACCACAGGGGTTGGAACAAAGCAATCACATTAACACTTCCCTCCAGGCCCTGCTCAGGCTGACGACAGGCGGGCGGGTGCTGCTTTCGGATACGGGAACGTGCAATCGGACTTGTAGAAGGCTTTGAATCTTGACTTTAGACCGCTTTAGCCCTAAGACTTCGTGTAGGTTATCTAAACCTCTCAAAGCCTCAGTTTCACCATCTACATTAAAAAAGGGCCTGGAAGTTGGCTCTGTGGATTCATGAGATAACGTGTAAAACCCCTAAACCATAACCTTAACACCAATGTATGTAAAATAAAGTACAGAATTTTGTTATATTTAAATTTTGAACGGCAACTTCGTGATCGTAGAGACGTATCTCTCGCTCACGCTTGTCAAGTTAACTGTACAGACAGTTTTGGAATGTGCGCAGAGGAGTGGAGTCACATGGTGATAATGAGCCGTTCCTTACATCCCGTTAAACTTTGGAGCCTAAGAATTAAACATTTTGGTTATACGTCTGAGTTTGGTTATACGGAGTTTGGAGACCTGGAAGACGTCTCCCTATACATTCCACACTTTCGAATTCCCATTTGTAGTCTCCGGAACTCAAAAATTAGTGGTAGCAGAGAACAGCCCAGGAAGTAACTGGTTTCCCGCTTTTGGCCAATGATCCCTCGCTTAACGAATGCTAACGCAGAATCCTCCGCCGACAGCGGCTGGGACCCGTCCGCGCCCGGTCTCGCTCACCGGCGGCCAACACCAGGAGCGAGAGCTACGCCAGGGCTGCGGGACCGGGTTCCAGACCCAGAGCGCCGCCGTGCACCTGAGGGTGACAGCGGGAGAGAAGGTGAGAAAAGAGACCTGCTTCAGGGCACAAGGGCAGCTACTCGCGAACTTGGCCCGAGATCCCGTCCTCATCCTCCTTTCCTCTCTTTCTGGTAAATGCTTTAAAAGCGACAGAAATGGTGCCTTTGGATTCCTAAATTCGGTTTACAGAACAGAAAAGTCCCGAAGCAGCGTGGGGAGGGCGACCGCAGCCCCTCGGAGGCCGCCGCAGCACGTCCCAGGGGAAAGCAGCGCGCGTCCCCGCGCCGGCAAGGGAGCGCGCGGCGAGGCCCGGGATTTCGACCGCTTGGCTGGAGGGCTGCTAGTCCGAGCCTTTCCTGGGAGAAGTCCGGGCTTTAGCTCAGACCCACACCCTGACGGGGTTAAGTTTTCTTGAACCCAAATGGTCCCCTTGAAGCACCCCTCCAGCCCAGGCCCCAAGAACGGGCCTGGAGCGTCCAGGCCTTCGGGCCCACCCCGGAGGCCCGTGGGCCTGGCGCTCGAGGCGCCCTCGCCCAGTTCTGGCTTTAAGGGCAAGGCAAAGATCAGCTCCTCTACGGGTGAGGCGGGAGGTTGTCGTCTGTTTGGCCCCAGGTGTGCGCGCTTTTGGTTCGGGACTTCACACTCGCGCCCGCCCTTGGGACCCAGAAAAGAGATGTCTTGTGCGCCTAGGGAAGGACGTGCCCATCTCCAGGGCCCGTGTCCTCAGGTGGTGAAGGGAAAGGCACTTGCGGCCCGTGGTACGGCGACGTTACCCCGCCGGACCCGGCTAGTGGAGGCCTGCCGCTGTGGGTGCCCGCCGCTCTTGCCCACCCCGGGCCTCCCCCCACCCCGGTTTTCACCAAGCGGGTCCCCCCCCTCGACCCTCCCCAACCTGGGGCCAGAGGTCAGGCGTGGGGCCTCAGAGACTCCTCACAGGCTGCTCCCTCAGGGCCTCGACCCTCCGGATCCTCGTCCCCCAGGAGCTCGCAACTGCAGGGACGGGCTCTTAGCGCCCCCCTAGATCTCCCCCTGACCAGAGAAGAACCCGTGCACTAGAGTTGGGTGCAAAACTCGCAGAGTGATCCTAAGACCAGTACAGAAAGATTTCTCCTGATACCGCGGGCGCGAGGAATCCAGACCCACTCTCCCTCGCCCCTCCAC